GATGTATATGAAGGCCTTCTACATCCCATTATACCCATTGCTACTTATTACATGAATGTAACAACAACAAAATATGCAGAGATAGGATTTCGCAAACTTTTTGGATCTTTTGCTCTTAAGGGGGAGCACACACTCGCACATGCGTCAGACCAATCCGTGGTGCGCTTAGGCTTATGCTGAGGCTATCCTTTTTTTCTCTTTCGATGGGTGTTCACATAGACAGACAACGTGCGTGCTCTCCCTTAACAGCAAAAGTACCAACTTTTTTTACCGACCTAATTTACAGTCACAGCTACACTCCCTCCACACTACTACAAACACATTCTGTTGACTCTAACCCGTTCACAGCTGTCCAATCCTGTAAATTGATTTTGCCGAATTAATTTACAGTCACAGTCGCTCCGCATGCTACTGATTCCTTTGTAGTGCTGTGAACGCATTAACTAATTGTGCAAATCCGAGAATTCCTTTTCGCAACCTATTGAGGTTGTGGAAACACCGTTCCGAACGGTTCTCCTTGTGCTATAACTACACTGCGTATGTGAACGAACGAAATGCAGTTTTTATGCTGGTCGTATTCATCAAGGAAGTGGAGACAATGATGTTATTATGCACATGCGAAGAGGTGTGTACATGTGGTACTGACAAGTAGGAGTACATAGATGTCGAAAGTACGATGATCGAACAACATCTGCATCTCAATGAATGGCAATAACAATCTGAAAGAACACAATAAGTACGAAATGAAGAAACATCTCACCAAATGCTATCCACCAATGAGCGATTTTACTCACATTTGTTACAGTCGCTGAAATTTTCAAGCTTAAATCGCTCGTACTACTCGCATTAATGATCGACATTTGAATTTGCAGAATTCATTTATTTTAATTTTTGTTTTTTTTTGCGTGATATCTGCCGTAAATTTACGACTTTTTGAATCCATACATCAGTCGTAATTCTTCCAAAACCCACAAATCCGTATGCCATTTACAGCAGCCGTTCTTCTTCGTTTATAAATCCGTAAATCAGTTTCCTCTTACACGAGTCCGTCATTATTTATCTTATTGTTTCATTGGGCGGATTGCAAAGTGTTCTCCCAGTTTTCATCAACGAATGCTTTCAATTGTTTCAGCTGTGCATAGCCTGGAAATAGGTACATTCTCGCGATAAGTTCGGTTTGTTGAGTGATTGACTCGAGCGTGACATTTTGTGATGTGTATCAATTATTTATTGCCTTCAGATGGCAACAAATTACATCGTCTCAGCACAGAAACCAACCGTTGTCACACATGCTGTGGTCTGCAATTTCACTGGTCCGAATGATCTGAATCTGATTCTGGCGAAGACAAATCGTCTCGAAATTATGCTCGTCACTCCAGATGGTCTCAAACCGTATCGAGAAGTGCCCATATTCGGTCGAATCGCAACTGTCAAAGCATTCCGGGTCAAGAGTGAGGTTCAGAAACTTTATTNTTTACGTTTCCAGATTTGCTTCCTCCGAACAAATATTCGTTTCGGGGTATCCTTATTAATTCAAGCATTCATAAGCTTCATTTGAAACTTGGTCGCTCTACAGTTTCGATGACAGCTTTGGTAATGGAATATTGACTGTCATCATTACCATAGTCATATCAGTGGTACTGATGGTCTCATTAATAACACGACAGTGATAATAACAATATTGTACTATAGTCAATGGATAACATTCTTGTGCTCACCCAAAAGTTTCATTTGGCGATCATCTGTTGGGGGTCAAATGGTGAGCTGAAAACCAGAGCCTCGGGACATATCGCAGATCGTGTTGGACGTCAGTCAGAAACGGGAATTATCGCATGTGTCCACTCATCTGGGGTAAGCAAGTGTTGTGTTTCATTATTCAGTGAGGTGCAAAAGTTTTATTTGAATGATGACAGTCAGAAAGAATAATCGTTTAGTTGTTCATTTCGTTGTGAAATTCAAGAATTTTTGGTGAATAAACATTTTGAATTACTTCATGGCTTAATTGCTTCAGCTGATGGCATTTCGTCTGTATGATGGTTTGATAAAAATTATTCAATGGTCTGAAGGGAAAGATCTGCGTGGTTTCAACATTCGTTGCGATGATCTATATATTATCGATTTAGATTTCGCAGATGATTCGGGTTTGAATTTGTTCTTGAATGATGCTTATGGAAGTTTTATCATTCGCACATTGAATGCTGTATTATCATTGCGTTTTGAGTGAATTATCCGTCATAAAGTCGAATGCTTTTTTTCGCATTCAGTTGCAAGCNTGTTTATAAATTTTAGAAGTCTGCACGAATCACCAAGTAATGATTTGGTCGGGATCACTTCAAATTTATGCAGTTCTAAAATATTTGTTGCAGAAATACCAACTTTGGTATATATCTATCGTGATCACAACGGTCGTCATTTGAAAGCTGCTGCTATAAATCTTGAAGATCGCGAGCTGAGTTCACCGCCCATTTGGAAGCAAGAGAATATCGAGGCTGAAGCATCAATGATATTCTCAGTGCCACACCCATATGGCGGAGTTATCGTGATTGGTCACGAAACGATATCTTATCACAAAGGTTCGATTTTTCCAATTTAGTTTTGTTGTATTTCAGTTTGTTGCGGAACTTTAGAACGAAGAGAATATTCAGGAATTCCTATTCAATTTTTTTCTCTTATTCTATGTTTTCCATCGCTGTGAAAATATTTTTCCTTTTGCTTGTTCTTTTTTGATGGAGTGAGTTTAGATGGACGTATAGGGGCAGCATATTAAAGAGGTTCGAGATTTTTTAATTTGATTTTGTTGCAGAACTATTTAAGGATTTTTGAAGATTAGTGCAGTACTTTAGGGATATGTTCTTTAGCGAAGTGGTGGGGATTGCAATCGTTCAATCGATTTCCTTCGCAATATTCCCTATTCAAACTTAGCGGGCGAAATTAAATTTGCTAATAATGGCATCCATCGTTTCGTGAAAATCAATTTTTGATTTTCACTTTCTATTGTTTTTCAAATATCTCTACGAGTTTTCTTTCGTGAGAAACAGAATTTTTAGATTGCAAATTCCCTTTTGCATAAACTACAAATTCAGAATGCAATAAATACGCTGCAATAGCGCCACCTCTGATGCATCAGTCACAAATCAATTGCTACGCGAAAATCGACCGAGATGGTCAACGTTACTTGCTAGGAGATTTGTCGGGAAGAATATTTATGCTGCTTTTGGATTTGAATGTTACGAGCGATGGAACGGCAACAGTGAAAGATTTGAAGGTTGTACTCTTTGATCGCTTATGATTGTTGACACTTGCATATGTGAAAGTTAAGGTTGAATTGTTGGGCGAGACATCGATCCCGGAATGTCTGGTTTATTTGGATAACGGGGTGGTGTTCATTGGGTCGAGATTCGGCGACAGTCAGTTGGTGCGCTTAAGGAGAGAGCCATATCAGGATGGTTCATACATATCGTTGATGGATAATTACGTGAATTTAGCACCGATCAGAGATATGGTCGTCATCAATACGGATGGACAGCAACAAGTTATCACTTGCTCAGGAGCGTTTAAAGTGAGTTCTGATTCATATGGTTTCGTTGCTGTGAGTCTTGAATGTCAGTGAATGTTTAATCATTCGGTTTGATGACTAATAATATTGTTGTTCAAGGATGGCTCATTGCGTGTGATTCGTAACGGTATCGGTATTGAAGAGTTGGCATCCGTCGACTTAGCTGGTGTTAAATCACTGTTCGCATTGAACGTTGAGTGTGAAGCGCATAATTATTTGATAGTTGGTTTCGTAGATGAAACTCACATTCTGAAGATCAGTGAAGAAGATTTAGAGGATACGCAGTTGAATGGTTTGTTGCTTTTGGATTTGTTAGAGGGAGTGCGTTTCTTGTTGCGTTGTGTTTGTGAGGGGACGAGAATGACATAGTTAAGTTTCATTGGTGAATTTGATTTGTTCACATATTTGCAGTGAGCATTATTGAGGTTTTGACTTTAATAACATGTCGTGTAATATTTGTTGGATATAATGAAAAATATAAGTACTGACCCAAAAATTATCTTACCTAAACATTGCTGAGCATGAGATGGATCAACAGTTAAGCTGTTTGTTATTGTATGCATCAGATCAATATTGTAAAGGTAGCGCTCGAATTATGACAAAAAAATATTTCCTAGTATGTTTATGATATTTGAAGGTTTCACAACAACAGAGCCAACACTATGGGCCGGTACGTTGAAGAATGGTGCGTTGGTGCAAATAACACCAACAAAAGTGACGATGGTGTTGAAGAATGAGATAAGCAATTGGACACCAACATCGAGTATCTCAGTTGTATCCATGAATGAATTGAGTGGTCAGTTGGTGTTGGGTTGTGGTAATCAGCTGAATTATCTGATGATAGCAGATCAGATTAAACTGATCGCGAGTGTGGAGTGTGAATATGAGGTGGCTTGCGTGGACATCAGTTCCGTTGGTTTGTTTTTTGGTTCCGTTGCAATCTTATTTCAGTTACGAAAGCTTTGCTTTTGCGTAACGATTTTTGTACGTTTGATTCAAATGAATAGAACGATTGAATGTGTCGTTCGAGTTTTGTTGACATCGCCTCTGAGTATCAATGTTTATTTTGTAGGCACCGAAAGTGAATCAAAATTATGCGCGTTGGCCTATTGGACAGATATGTCGGTAGCACTCAGGTCATTACCGGACTTGAAAGAGATTGTCAGAGAGAAGTGCGGTGGTGAAATGCTGGCGAGATCGTTGTTGATCTCTCAGATGGAAGGGAATGTGTACTTGTTAGTGGCGTTGGGCGATGGAACTCTTTATTATTATCGCATCGACATGAAAACCGGTTGGTGCATCTAGTTGATATGCTTTCGTTTCGTCAAAGACACTTCAAAATATCATATATTTGATATTCTGTAAGTGAAGTGACGAATCATTGAAGGTGCTTTAACGGAGCCAAAGAAAGCCACTCTGGGCACTCAGCCGATCTTGCTTAAGAAGTTTACGTCGCGGGGAATCAGAAACGTTTTTGCATGCAGCGATCGACCGACAGTAATATATTCATCCAATCAAAAAGTCGTATTTTCAAATGTGAATCTCAAGCTCGTAACTCATATGTGTGCGTTGAATTCAACCATCTACACAGACAGTCTCGTTTTGACTGACGGTCAAACGCTTGTGATAGGTTATTTCCTTACTCTTTCACTATTTTTGTTATTGTTACTACCGTTGAGTTCGCTCGAATCTTGACATTTTGATAGTTTTCGTAATTGATGGTTTAAGTGATAGTCTCACGTATGTTGTATTTGAGGCAGGATAGATGATATTCAAAAGTTACATATTCGAACGGTGCCCTTGGGTGAAAGCGTCTCACGGATCGCTTATCAGCCTGAGAGTGGTACGATTGCTGTGCTCGTTCAACGGACTGAGGTGGCGTTTGTTGTTCATTTTGTAATTTGGTACTCTTTATTGCATTCGTTTATTCATTACATTTTTATTAGTGAGAAAGGAGGATTGAGATGTGGATTTGTAGGTACATTGATATATATAATTTGGTGTTTGTGTGAAAGAGTTTTTGTTATTGACGAATTCAGTGAACGGAAAAAATTTAAAATGCACGATACTGAATTGCCTTTATTTGCGCAATAATTAACTTGTAACTGAAAATATTTGCAGTTTACATTGAATAGTTACAAGATGTTATCGTAAGCAGTCTTGTAATGGATTGATAATTCAGTAAACGAAATTTCAGATTGTCGATTCAGAAGGTCAGCGTCATTTTGGGCAATGCGCATCGAAAATGGCAATGAGTTCATCAAGTAGCCATCCGTCTATGGCACCCACGAATCCTGCACCACCTACCGTTGAACCTGAGGAAGTGGAGGTTAGTTGTGTAGATGCTTTAATGGTTACTCGACATGACGACGTTATTTATGATGGGAATAATTAGGTGTGTTTAAGATCTCGTCAATAGTGGTGTTTGATGCGAACACGTTCGAGATCTTGCACTCACACGAGCTCGGTAAAAAGGAGTTGGCGATGTCAATCAAGTCGTGCACTCTGGGCAACGATCCGCAGCCGTATTATGTGGTCGGAACGGCAGTTGTACATATGGATGAAACTGAAGCGAAATTGGTTCGTTTCATTGGCAGAGTTGTTGTTGTGAGGTTGAGTTGTGCTTTTTTAAGGGTCGTTTGTTGATATTCGAAGTGAAGACACCAACTGAGGGCGCTAGAATGCGATTGGTTCACGACAAAGAAGTCAAGGGCGCCGTTTACTCGATTCAACTTCTAATGAGTTAGTGAAAAAAATGTCTCGTTGGATTCAGTTTTTGATTCGAACAAACGACGATTATTGTAATGGTTGTTGTTGTTCTTTTTCGTCTTTTTGAATTATTTTGTTTTCGAGTCGCAAAGAATCAATTGAAGAAATTGTTCTTTAAAGGTAAATTGGTAGTGGCGATCAACAGTTGTGTGCGATTATTTGAATGGACTGCGGATAAGGAGTTGAAGTTGGAGTGTTCTGATTTCGATAACGTTACGGCATTGTATCTGAAGACGAAGAATGATATCGTGCTCGTTGGTGATCTGATGCGTTCTCTTTCGGTGCTTGCATACAGACCGATGGAATCGAGTTTTGAAAAAATTGCGAGGTGAATTGAGTTTATATTGAGTGATTGATAAAATAAAATGGATAGTTTTTTGAGTTAATATTTATCAATCTGCAGAGATTTTGTAACGAATTGGACGACTGCATGTGAAATCATTGATATGGATTCTTTCATTGGTGCCGAAGTAATGTTTAATTTATTCACGTTGGTGAAGGACTGTAACGCTATTAATAAGGAGGAAGGCACGCGTTTACAGGTCAGTTAATCAGTCAGTCGGGCGTTTCTCATGTTGATTTGTTATGGTTTTACAATTGTGCTGTTCTATTATTTTGACGCAATAGTGATCCGTTTGAATTTGTTGCTGATAGTGACTGATTTTTGTTTCAGGAGGCGGGTATGTACTATTTGGGTGAGTCGGTGAATACGTTCTGTCATGGATCGCTGATTGCCACACATATCGATCTATCACCGCCGTTCACTTCACCGATTCTTTTCGGCACTTCCGATGGTGGTCTGGGTGTTATCGTACAGTTATCGCAGCCATTTTATAAGTAAGTTCATCGCAACAGATTATACGTCAACAAAATTCATTATTCTGATTGCAAGAATGCGTTCATTGCTCTCTGTGCGATTGAATGACCTTATCCGTTGGCTTGTTGGCTT